ATCCCAAAAATGGAAATGTGACATCCACAATCTGGGAATGGGCATGGAGCTGCTGGAGCAGCTTTTGGGGCTGATTTCCCTTTAAATGGAAAAAAAAGGGGGATAAAGGAGAAAAAAAAAAGCCCTTTTGGGAATCAGCAGTGCCAAAACTGCCCGGAAAGGTGGCGGTGATGGAGGAAAATCCTCCGGGAGATTCCAGGCGGCTCCGCAAAGGAAATCGGGGATGCGGCTCCGAGAGCCACCTAACGCTCAAACTGGGAATGACTGGGATCACTGGGAGGGGTCGGGGCGGATAAATCTTCTCCTGGAGACCCCTCCCCGCCCCGGTTTTCCAAGGAAAACCCCGGCTCCGCTCCCTTCAAAAAAAGTTTATTTTGGGTAACGCCTTGTCCGAAATTTACAGCACGTGGAGGAGCGGGGAGGGGAAAAGGGAATTGGGGAAGAAATCCCATGGGAAAGCAAGAAAAGGAAGAGGGAAAGGGGGAAAAGTGTAGGATCGCTCCAGGGGATGAATCCCATCCTGCCCAGCCAGGGGGAGGCACCGGGAAATGGGGGGAAACGCCCCAAATGGGGATATTTTRGGGTGGGAATTCCATGGGGTTTAGTGTTTGGATTGAAGAGCGGAATTCCATGAGCTCAGCCCTTCCCGGCCCTGTTCACGGTCCGATGGGCTAATGGGGCCGTCGGGATCCCGCCYCCATCCCACAGATCCATTAACTGCTCCGTTTAGGGGTGGGGATGCTGCCAGGGGGAGTTTTCACGGATGATCAGGGCTCATCCAACGGGAACAGTGCTGATCCTGACCCCAAGAGCTCCCTTTTTCCATGGAGAGSGATTTCTGACCCTGGAGAGCTCCTGCTTTGGGATTTGCCACCCCGAGAAGGTCCCATTTTCCTTGGATAGGGGATTTGTGGTCCCAAGGAGATCCTGCTTTCGCTGGATAGGGATTTCCACCCCCAAAGAGCTCCAGATTTCCCTAAATAGGGATTTTTGATCCCAAGACRCTCCTGCTTTCYYTSKRTAGGGATTCCCAACCCCAAAGAGCTCCAGATTTCCCTGGATRRGGATTTTCAATCCCAAAGAGCTCCAGATTTCCCCAAATAGGGATTTTTGATCCCAAGACACTCCTGCTTTCCTTGGATAGGGATTTCCAATCCCAAGGAGCTCCTGATCTTCCTGGATAGGAATTTCCAACCCCAAGGAGATCCTGCTTTCCCTGGAGAGGGATTTCCAACACCAAGGAGCTCCAGATTTCCCTAAATAGGGATTTTTGATCCCAAGACACTCCTGCTTTCTCTCTGTAGGGATTCCCAATCCCAAAGAGCTCTTGTTTTTCCTGGGCAGGAATTTCCAATCCCAAGGAGATCCTGCTTTCCCTGGATA